CCCGTGAGCGCCGAGCCGCCGAGCTCGCCTCGCAAAAGTCGAGGAAGCAATTCTCGTAATACTAACTGCCGCTCGTTTTATGCCGCATATAATTCCGCGTAGGCCCGATGACTATCTCTCTTTCGCGGGGCGAAGTTTCACGAGCGATCCTTCGGACTCTATCCGTCTCTTCGTAAACGTCGCGCCATGAATCTTCGGTTGTTTCGATATGCGCGAAACGTAAAAGACGAGAAAAAGGGAAGATAGCGGAATATATTACCGACGAGCGCCTTCGTTATCTTCTTCGGTAAATAACGTCATGAATCAATATCTGTTTTTAAGATTCCGGTCGTGGAGTTACCCCCCCACGGAACGCAGAGTTCATCGTGTGTGTTACGTATTTCGAGAGACACTTTAGGAGGACGACAACACCGAAACTCTATCCCATTACGAGGTAAAGCCTTTATGAATTATGTAATCCATTAAATTGCGAAATATCGGACTGATAAAGCAGGTGCGGTCACGGGTATTTCCGAAAATTATGCCCCAATTCCTCCACGAGGCGAATCCGATTATACTGGGTGAGTCCTTCGCGCCTGGTGTAATGAAATCTCCGTTGCCTCGTTAGATAGTAACACCGGTCGCTTTGACGTTGAAATTTATAATTCCTCGCGTCGTTAATGTGGCATTAGGACGGGGTGATAAAATTACGCGAGGCCCGAGCAGCCACGTAACAAACAAATAACTAGATTAACCCCAGTACTCAAAATTTTTGGCCTAATTAAAGGATAGAAATCTACCGTTTACCCTTTATCTAAAAAAATTATTCGTGATACTCTGGCAACGGAAGTTTTAAGAATAAGTATTTTCTATTATTCTAGATTTAAATACATTCCAGAAGTATGCAAATTATTGTTTTGATTTTCCTTGCGAATGTGTTTATTCAAACCCGAAAAAAATCCTCTGTGAATTACCTGATTTTTAAAATAATTTGTTAAAAATTTTTTCCATTTGTTATTAAAAATAAAAGTATTTTTAAATATACTTTACAAACAAATATATATTTATTGTGCAAAGTTCTTAATAGTTTATATTCATAAAAGTTTATAAAACATAAAATAAAATTAAGAATCACTCAAATTCCAATAATTAAATTTTTAAAAATTTTGAAAAAAATTTAAAGACTCTAAAAAATAAATATTTTGTATTTCATAAAATTTTCAAACTTTATTTTCAAAAGCTTCAAACAAGAAATTATATAATGCATGATACAAAAAAATATTTAACTTTTACAGAACTATAAAATAAATATTTCATTAAAATTGCACCTAACATGAATTATCTTCAAATAAATATTCAACTAAATTAATCGTAAAATCAGTATGCTTTTATGTTTAGAGTGAATGGCTCTGTTATCGTTAACAAATCAATTATTAAACTCCCGATGATAATATAAAAGTAAAATATCAAAAAAAAAAACAAAAAAAAATTTCGTCACTTTCAATAAAAGTCTCTGAGAATTTCCTGATTTTTCAAGATATAAACAAATTTCCTGAGGTCTTCCAGATTTTCCCAGGTTTAGACATTCTATTCACTCTATTGATTGCCAAATATCTCTAACAAAGCTTTCAACAAGCTAACGAATCGTAGCAAACATTTATAGTGGCAACTTCATTGAATAATTATCGTTCGAGCAAAGATCGAGATAAGATCCCTCAGCGATATAGTCTTCCTTCTTGTTACGAGATCGGCAGACAAACGAGCGGAATCGTTAATATTTGACCTCGCGGATTACTCGACAAATCCAGGGTGGTAGGGACCCTCGCTGTGTCGACCGGGCGAGAAACGGAAGGGGACCAATCGCATCTCGCGCCCTAAGCCACGTAGGCTTAGAGGAACCCAGCACCGGCGTATCGTCGCGGCTAAAATATTTTGCCGGTTGCCTCGTTATTTATCCTGCCGGAGAAAGTTGTCGGTGTCGTCGGTAGTTGTCGTAATAAATGTTCCACCCCGAGCGCGCGGAGCGGACTTGGCTCGCGCGGGGAGGAGGGGGGGGTCGTCGTTACACAAGTTGGCTCCGTCGTCGAAGCCGGGCCGGTTTTGCCCTACTTTTTGCGCGGCATGCAGCCGCGATCGTGTCGGGAACAATGTACAAGGCGTCTAGTGTTAGAAAATAAGACGACGGAGGAAGCGGTCGTCCGATTCTCAAGAACTCGATCGAAGTGCACTTTTTGCGTTCGCGATTCGCAGACGAAGAAGAAAAATCG